TCTACTTCGACCCTAACATACTGTAGTTTTAGCTGTACACTGTAAAAAATGGCCGTGATTTCAACGGTAAGAAACTGTAAAAATGCTACAGTACAAATCCGTAACCTGGTTACCGGTATGTTTTCTTAAAATATACGGCGAATAACCGTAAACTGACTTTCCCAGAATTCCCTGCATGGCACATAACTTTTTATGCATTTGGTTGACATTATTATAGATCTTTTTAGTTGTTTCCCAATCAGTTATGTACATAAGAGATTAATGTTACATCTAATGTTGATAAACAATGTTTATTTCATGACTTTTATTTTATGCGTGCTACCATACTGGTGTTTAGTAGCTGTGTGAATGACACTGAGCACCTTCTATAAGCTGATACTCTTTTTTGCTTGTGGGAAAAGTTGATTGTGATGAGCATTGACTCATTATGTAACTTCCTCATCACCACCTGCATGTGGGTGTGTTAATGTGTTTTACTGTTTAACAAAAGATGTGTAAATGTTGATCATTCAAAACACAGACATTTTACCTCTATAAATTAATAAAATACGGTAATTTACCGTAAAAATAAAAAATTACTTTTACGGTTTGTACCGTGTTTTTAACGGTAAAGTACTGGCAACCACAGCTGCCGTTTTTTTACCGTAAATTTTACGGATTTATTTTTTACAGTGTAGCCCTAGCTTAGTTGTGTCAACATGCTAAGAAGACGCTGTTTTCTGCTTTGAAGAATCACTTTATATGCACTTTAAACAGATGAGGGTGAAATTGATATGTAATACCATCATTAGATTCCATACCAATGTGTTTACAAGTGCTGAAGAAAGGCTGAATTCAGATATGGAAATGGGGAATTACTTTTTGAAACAGACTGGACTATCTGACCAATCAAGGCAAAGTAGTTGAGTTTAACCTTGGATAGATGCAGGTCTTTTGTAGGAGACTCCAAATAGCAATTAGAAACATTTGATTAGCATAATAGAAATATTCAAAAAGACATATTTTTTATTCCTGTAAATCTATATTTGGGCATGAATTTTTAACCAATTTTAATTAATCTTTATTAGAAATTTCCAAGATGTTTGAAGTCCAGAAACAGAACCAAAAATATCATAAACCAAATACCAAAACATTCCATGTGGTTTCAGTGGTTCAACCCTAATCATACACAAAAATACACACACAAGTGTGGTATTGCCCTTAATAAACGTGCACCCTGAAGATATTTTTGGACTGAATTGTTGTTACAGTTGATTGCCACACAAAACTGTTCTTGGAGCTTCATACTGTTGAACCGCTGAAATCATGGAATGTTTTTGGTTGCTTTTCTGGACATTGAAGGTCTCGGGGCTGTTGCTGTCTGTAGAGAATTAGAGAGCTAAATTAAAGGTGCAGTAGGTGATTGCCAAAATGCTAACCAGTTAGCATAATATCTTCGAAACACAGTCCCACCCCTGTCGTCCAAAGCCATGCCTCCTGAAACAAGCGCACAACAGCAGACAACCGATTAGTTCGTCATTCGCTAGTTAGAAATGTAGTTAATGGTTGGCCAGTTGCGTGCAGAAATTACACTTATTACTAAGACATTCTAACACGCTATTTCAGAGCGAATATTCAGAGTAGCATTGTAAACAATATAGGGAGCACATCACAGGCTGTCAGTGTTCAAAAATGAACCAATGTGATGTGAATATAAAACCAACTTCAGTTCAGTAAAGCAGGCTAGGCGGAATGACAATATTAACTGATGTTTTGTTGTTAAATTAAATAAAAATCTACTTTATCGATGCTGTAAAAGTTCCCTTATGAAACTGAAAATAGTCACTTGAATAACATACAACAGAACAACACTTCTGTGAATATAACCTATTCATAACAACAACATCTATATAAGCTTTGCATTACTAAAATAGTTTTAAAACATAACATTACCTGTCAAAAAGAAATACTTCAGTCATGGTGTCGTAATTCCTCCAGCGTGCAAAGTAACTTCAATATTGATTCAGGATTTTTAAAGTTGAGATTCTGTATTTGATTTTAGCGCTGTGATATCATGTCTCTTGTGTACATGAACACACGGCACGCATCCATACGTGCATGCGCAAATAACGGATTCTGCATGAACAGAGATGTGCAAAAGCCCATATCTACATTTGTTGACAGACAGTTTGGGCTACTTATCGGAATTATGGGAGATGTTGGCCCGATAATATTTAATTGGATGATATTTTTTTTAGTCTTAAGCCTTACATAGAATATAAAAATACATATAAATACATTTAGATCATTCACTTTAATCAATACTATTGGAATCTAAAGAGACTTTCAACCAGCACAGCAAAAAACATTTCTGAAGACAATCACCTACTGCACCTTCAACTTATTTTGTTTTGCAAAAATCAACAATTTTACTTAATCAAACAATTAACAGTTTTCATTTTTTGGGTTAACTAATCCTTTAAGTCTTTATTACATATCATCATTATGAAACTATTCAAATAAATGTTTACAAACCTATTAAGCTAAAACATTGTCACACAAAAAGACTACTGATGCACAATTATTAGTGAATGACCTGCAATTGTATCTTCAAAGTGTTGCTCAAATAGTGTTACGAAAATATCAAGACACACCAACGACAAAACAAAACACATCTGTTCCAGAATCCTCCAGTTAAATCTGACACTAACTGCAGCATGTGTCCAGTGAGTCATGTAGGTGGATCCAGATAGCATGGGACTGTGCACGGCTGCATGTAACAAGAGTGAACAGCAAAAACAAATACATTTGACATTCACGGTCATGGGTGAAGCTTAACAGGGCAACAAGCCAACAGTCTGAGCGCTTGTTTCATCCTGGAGCGAGGGAGGAAGAAGAGGCTCAGAAAATGACAGCGCTGAACATCAACAGGAGGAACAAAGGCTGGACTTGGACAGGACTGCTTTCTCTGGCTTCTTCCTGCTCCTGTGGATGTTTAATTTTGAATTTCAAAGCCTCCAGAGTAAAAGCATTAGGTTTTGCTCCCTTCTGACTTTGGGTGCAAGTCTCCATTTCAGCGACTTAAAAATGCATATAAAATATAAACTGTATAGGGTTGGACAATGAAACTGAAACTGAGGTTTCATGGCAAATTTTGACCAGCCTGATGGCCAATCTTTATTGATTGCACATTCCACCAGTAAGAGCGGAGTATGAAGGTTTAAATAGCAGAGTAATTGCACAGTTTTGCTAAAAATATTGCAATGCACACAACATTATGCATGACATATCAGATTTCAAAAAAGGACAAATTGGTAGTGCACATCTCACCAAAACAGCAAGTCTTTGTGATGTATCAAGAGCCACAATATCTAGGGTAATGTTACCATACTACCTAGAAGGATGAACCATATACCACAGGAGTAACTGTGGACACTAGAGGAAGCTGTCTAAAAGGGATGTCCAGGTGCTAACCTGGATTGTATCCAAAGAACATAAAACCACATCTGCCCAACTTACTGCAGATTCAAATGTGCTTCTCAACTCTCCTGTTTCCGCCAAAATTATTTGTTGGGAGCTCCACAGTGTGAATATACAATGCCGGGCTGTTATAGCCAAACCTTTGGTCACTTGTGCCAATGCCAAAGGTTGTTTTAAATGGTGAAAACAGCCAAAATCTTGGGCTACGGACAATGTGAAACATGTAATGTTCTCAGATGAGTCCACCTTCACTGCCTAACCCACATTCAGAAGAGTTAAGGTATGGAGAAATCCCAAATAAGCGTACCACACTAACTGTTGCATTGAACCATGAGGCTGGATCAGTGCTAGTTTGGACTGCAATATCATGGTATTCCCTAGGCCCAATACTTGGCTAGAAGGGCACATCACTGCCAATTCTGTGCGGCTATTCTGTACGGCCATGTATACCCAATGGTTGCAACATTGTATCCTGAATGTGGTGCCGTGTATCAAGATGATAAGTCACCAATGCACCAATCCACACAGCCAGACTCATGACAGAGTGCTCGATGAATGTGAATGTAAAGTTGAACCTTCTCCCATGGTCTGCACAGTCACAAGATCTAAATATTATCGAGTCACTTTGGGGTGTTTTAGAGGAGCAAGCCAGAAAATGTTTTTAGGATCACATAGTAATCTGGCCACCATTCTATATATAAGTGTTATTCAGCTATATTTTTCTTGCTCTCCTTTGGACAGTCCATACATCTAAATTTTGTGACTGGATGATTTAAAAGAACAGCTCTATACTCAAGGAAATAGTGTAATTCAACTCCTATTATCTGTCGAGACAAATTTAGATATTTAGCAGGATGTTCATTTTTAAGCTTTTACATATATGAAAACTGCAAGCTTCAAAAAGAACAACAGAAGCATTAAATATTAAAACATCATGAAACCAACATGAAGGTCCTCTTAAAGTAGGGCAAATGACTCATGCACTATATTTAACCCACTTTTTTCATTCTTTTTCAACACACCACAATCACACACTAAAAGGCATTTAAAATAAATTATGTCAATAATAAAATGAGATATTCTGAAAACTATACTGTAACTTAGCAACAAGTATGAATCATTAGAGTTATTAGTAGACTCTTTATTAATATGCTAACAACTTTTTGTTTAGAATAAAATTATAATATAACTTTACAAGCAGCTCAACTTATTATAGAGATGCTAATCTAACAGCCTACTTATTCTTTACTAATACTTAGTATTATAATGGCAGTTTGTTGACATCTAGTTGCATGATACTTGAAATCAGCAGACAGATCACCATTAAAATGAAAGAGATAAAAAATAAAAAGTTCTCACCATTTACTCATCCACTGGATCCAAATTTTTGATTATTCTTCTGTTGAACACAAAAGAAGATAATTAAAAGATGGTTTGAAACCAATAGCCATTGATTTCCAGGATAGAAGACTAGGAACCTTTAAGTGAAATCAATTTTTAAATAAAGACAGGAAGTTTTAAATGGCTTTTTTATTTCATTCTATGATGGTTTAAAAAGCTGTTCACAAAACACAATATATTCCTTTTCTTCTTTCTTTTGTATTGCAGTTCGAGATGTTCTGGTCATAGCAGTAAGCACAGAAGCTGCAGTTCGGTGTGGTCTGTATGGTGAATACGTCCTCACTCCTCTACAGGACTGTATAGTCCTGAAGGATCTGAAATCGAAGCAAGTGCTTTTTAAATGGCCGTACTGCTATGTAAGGAAGTTTGGACAAGATACGGTAAGCTGGGGTCACTTTACATTTGGGGACAATGACAAATAATATACATGACAATTTAAGATCAATACAAAACTAGAAAAGTGATATTATCTATATTAGGACTTTTCCCAGGACACCATGCCAAACATGCTTTATCAACCATCAGCTAAGTGTGAACTCTTGAAATGGCATTCAAATGAATGTGTTTTATCTGCTTGTTAAGTGTGACTTCATGCGAAGCGGCTTCCAGGTCCGAGCGCTCTATCAAACTGTATGGGAAGAGACAACAAATGGTAAAAATAAATGTTTACAAAGTGATCCATGCCTAATATCCGATGGCCATAAAGTTCATTTAAAAAAAAAAAAAATGTTAAAATATTGTTGTCTGTGATGCAGCAAGTCGAGAGACTGTTGTATACACCATAATTTTATATTAAAATTCACTTTAATGTGTGATATGACTAAAAAGTGATGATAAATGAATATTTTCTCAATTCAAATAAATAGCAGCTTGGACCTGGAAACAGTATTTCATACATCACGACTTAACAAGCAGATAAAATTAAGGTAAACGTAAGATAGTGAATATATAGTTTCTCAAAAGAAAATTAAATAAACATTACATTAAAAAGTTATTCTTTAATTAAGCAAGGGTGAATTAGAGATTTTTAAAGAAACCTGTTCTTTTTAATCAAAAAAAAAAAAAAAAAAAGATTGAGTTTCCACAAGAATAGGCAGCAGCTGTTTTATGAAATATGAATCATGGTTACATAACTTGTAGAAACACTAGAAAAAGTTTCTTAAAAAGACAAGCAGCATATTTAAATTAATATATTAAGCATTATTGTACTTTGGATATACAGTTGAAGTTAGAATTACAAGCTCCCCTGATTTATTAGTCCCCCTGTTTATTTTTTCCCCAATTTCTGCTTAACAGAAAGAAGATTTGTTCAACACATTTCTAAACATAATAGTTTTAATAACTCATTTCTAATAACTGATTTCTTTTATCTTTGCCATGATGACAGTAAATAATATTTAACTAGACATTTTTTTAGACACATCTATACAGCTTAAATTGACATTTAAAAGCTTAACTAGGTTAACTATGTAGGTTAGGGTAATTAGTGAAGTTATTGTATAACAATGGTTATAGACTATCGAAAAAAATAGCTTAAACAAGCTTATAATTTTGTCCTTAAAATGGATTTAAAAAAATTAAAAACTGCTTTTTACTCTAGCCGAAATAAAACAAATAAGACTTTTGCCAGAAGAAAAAATATTATCAGACATACTGTGAAAATTTCCTTGCTCTGTTAAACATAATTTAGAAAATATTTAAAAAAGAAAATTCAAAGGGGGCTAATAATTCTGACTTCAACTGTATATTTTTGTGCAATTAAGGTGTGACAAATTTTCTTTTTATTTAGTTACACTATTAAATGAAACCTTTTTTTAAAACAATATTTTCACCGACTTATGTAATTATGCAATCTATCTCCCTTTTTAATTTCAAAAGAGGATTAATTTTGACATTGTGCAGGTGTGAGATTTCCTAAACATAGTGAATTTAATTTGCATGCTTTTACTCGTGGGAAATAAACAGCCTGTCTTTTATCATCGCTTGAACGATTGTGGACAAACATCTCAGGTCTGAAAATAGATTTCATAACTTTTACTTCTCTTTTCTTTCCCTCAGCTGTCTTTCTCCTTTGAGGCTGGCCGCAGATGTGAGTCCGGAGAAGGGAATTTCGAGTTTGCAACCCATCAGGGTGAAAGACTGTTCAATGCTGTCAGTGCAGCCATCCAGAATCTACCCAGACCATCCGAAACGAAACCTATCAGCCTTGACCAAGCAGAACAAACTAGAGCTCAAGAAACCACGGCTGGAACATACAACGACACCATAGGAAGTCAACCGTATGACTTTTTACTTGAGGGCAAGACGCAGAAACCATCAAAAATGCTCAACCCAGCTAGAAGGAGCTTTTCTTTGAACTCAATAGAGCCACAGATCGAAAGTCAAGAGATAAGCGACAACTTCAACCCTGAGAATCAGGAACCAGTCTACGCCAGAGTGTCAAAAACTCAGCAAAAAACCACTTCCCCGACCAACTCTCAAATGCACTGGCAAAACTTGAGAACAGCTCTCCAGCAGTCTGCGTTTCTAACAGATGCTTTTAAAAGCGACCCCGATGTTTTGCCTGATTTACCAATTTCTTGGGATGGCTATGAAGAGACAGAGATATCTGAAGATTGCATCGATTTTTTGGGTGACTCCATCCAGCAATTAGCAATTAATGACGCATTGCAGACCACCAGTGAAGAAGCAATTTATGCAGATCCACAGGATGTCCAGGACGACGCTGAGTGGGATGTCAGTGGTGTGTACGATGAACCAGAGGAGGTCATGATGGCTAATCAGAGAGCTCACGATGGGGCAAATCACCTAGCCGAGCAGGACAACTTCTACAGTCCTGACACGAGTGAAACACAGGCCACACACTCTCCCTCTGATCTAGCTGAAAATTCAGATGCCATGTTCTCAATTTATGACAATTTCAGATTGAAGGGGAAGCGAATGTAATATGGCGCTATTATTTCTCAATCTTGCTAAGTAATTAATAGTCAATTACTTGAACTCTGTCTGTAAATATACACTCACTGGCCAGTTTAGGTACATCTTACTAGTACTGTGATGGACTCTTTTTGCATTCAGAAATGCCTTAATTCTTTGTGCTTTAAATCTCCAATTCCAGCACATCCTAAAAGTGCTCTATCAGATTGAGATCTGTTGAATGTGAGGCTATTGGAGTTTAGTAAACTCATTGTCGGGTTCAAGAAACCAGTTTGAGATGATTTGGGCTTGCTTGAATTAGCATCACAAAATTATGAGTCATCATGAGGTGGTGTTTTAGGTGTTTACAAGCTAAAAACTGAAAAGTTATCCACATGCATTTTAAAAAAGTTTAAAGCCTACACAATATTCTCAAAATGATCCACGTTTACACATTCCCTAGGCCCAATACTGCCCAGGCCCACTGAATCATTCTGGAGGACCATGTGCACCCAATAGTTCCAACATCCTGAATGTGGTGCCGTGTATCAGGATGATAATTCCACCAATACACACAGAAAGACTGGTAACTTGATGAACTTGAATGTGAAGTTGAACATCTTCCATGGTCTGCACAATCACAAGAACTAAATATTATCGAGTCACTTTGGGGTGTTTTGGAGGAGCGAGTCAGGAAATGTTTTCCTCCATCAGCATCATGTAGTGACCTGGCCACCATTTGATATATATATATATATATATATATATATATATATATATATATATATATATATATATATATATAAATGTTATTCGGCTGTTGTCCTTGCTATCCTTTAGAAGGTTCATACATTTAAATTCTGTGACTGGATGCGGAGTTAAAAGAATAGCTCATCCTCAAGGAATTTAAGTGTAATTCAACTCTTATTTTCTGTTGAGACAAAAGCAGATATTTAGCAAGATATTCACAATGCTTTTAGACAACTTTTACACAACATTGTCAAATTGATCTACGTTTACACATTCCCGAAAATGTCCAAAAATGTTGTGTTATGTATGCCAAAGAGCTTTCACTTTGTTAGTAAACAAATACCTGTAAGTAAATGATATGTCATTGGTAGGGCCAGACAGAATTTGCAGACATTTTTCGCAATTTTTTTGCAGAGTTTTGTAAAAAATCTGCAGATTTATGCAGAATTTTTTTTTTCAAGAGTATCATTACTAAAAACTTAATATATGAAATAAAAAAATACCTTTTTTAACTTTTATTTAATGTTTATAATGCAAATCCAATTAGATCCACTCAAATGGTAAATAAAGCAAATCTCTCATATATTATATCAACCATAAGACAAAAAATATTACTTTACAAATTGTATTAGATAATAAATCATATGAACCTTTTTATATAAATTAATCATTTTACTGAAATAAATTGAAAAACTGAATACATTCAGTTTACACACATTAACACAAGTAAATAAATAGACTCAATATTGGGCTAAAAATCTGCGGAACTCGCACGCACAGATTCAGTGTGGGCCTAGTCTTCGACGACTTGGCGTAGGTGCATATGTAGAATTTGCCATGTGTATTATGAATCTCCATTGTTTGAATTGGATTTGAAGTAAATCCACACTTAGTTGATAAAGCATTAGCAAACATTTGAGCTTCAACACTACCATGCCACTGTTTTATGTTTGCCTTTAATCTAATCTACAGTACGTCATCATTTCAAAGATTTTTGAGAGTTTACAAGGACACAATAATGTCGCCATTTACAAAAACTTCAACTTTGTAACCCATTTTCAGATTTATGCATTTTCAGTCCCAAAATACTCACCACAAACTCATTTTAGTGGCAATTATTCTTCTTTTTGTGAAATCCTGGAGAAAATGGTTAACTTGTTAGTTGAACAGGTGAACCTAATCAAGGGGCCAGTGAGTGGATATAATATTAAAGTTGTAAATATGACAAGCATAATTATTCACAATATTATTTAATTAGATTTACTTCTATGCATTATTATGCACTAACTTATTATAACATTCTAATGTTTTTAGCATCTGCACAATATAGCTACTTAGGTTCCATTCTTCAAGAAATGCATCATGAAGCTGTAACAAGAATTATATTTTTACTTATTTCCTATCCTTAACCAGGTAGTCAGGATGGGGGTCTTTGGGTCGACAACAGAAGAAACCCCCTGATTTAGTGAATTCGTCAGGCTCTTTCCTTGGTAAAAAACAACAAAACCTCTCCTGTCATTTCACGTATCATGTTTTTCCACTCGAACGCCTCTTCCAGGAAATCTTTGATTGCTAGCTGGAGAAATGTTCATGAAATCTGCTTGACTGTAATGGAACAGTAATAATTACAGTTGGCGGTACAGACATTGGCGTTGGTTTGGACTGGAGGGGCTCGTTCTCTTGCAGACTGATTTAATTAACTGTGCGAAGGGACCTGCGGCTTGAAGCTGATTGGGATCCCGACCTGCCTGAGAATGAAGATGTCACAGTGCCTCAGTCATCCACTGCTGTCTGTCACTCTCTCCACGAAGACGGACGCCTGCTGAAACGGACCGATGTGTGGTTTGCTGAGTAATGCTGCAGTTTGGAGAGCTTTAATTGAACTCATTATTAACTTGACTGCAAAGCATGTGTGTTCATTTAATCAACGGATAGCAACTGTAAAACAATAAAAGCAGTAACTATCCATTACTAAATAATGTTCATGTCATTCACAGACAATCAGCTGTTCCCCCATAGAGGCCATTTATGGTGGGGATGTGATATAGTTCAAATATAGTTTATAAAATGACTTGCAGATCAATGTAAACAAAAAACAGTAAACATCGCTTAAGGAACTTTTATGTTGCATTTATGAAAAAAGTTGACTCTTAAAAATGTACTTTAAGTTAACTGTACTTAACTTAAAAACGTAAGGCAACCTCACAGCAGAGCTTTTTGAGTTGACTCAACTTAAATCAAGTCAAGTGAAGTACTTAAAAAAGCTGTGCAGCAACCCAGTAGACACAACATCATAAGACGTTAATATTAGATTAAATTTAGTTCACCAGCATCTAAGGACAATGTTATTTTGACGTTCAATAATGTCGTGAAATGATGTTGATATGTGGTTGATTTTAGATGGTGTTGGGAAGTGACCAAAATCCAATGTCGAGCCAACATCTTAAACCGACATCATATTGACGTTAAATACTGACATTTATTCGTCAGATAAGGCAACCAGAATCTGTTTGACATCTGAGAAACATCATATTGGTAACATCCACTCAAGCTGTAACATCATTAGACGCTGATGTTTTGTTATTTTTAAGTTGCGTTGAAAAATAACCAAAATGCAATATCTGTCCGACGTTGCACTTTGACGTCGGCCTGACTTTGGTTTTCTGATATCAACCCAATTTTCATTTACCATCAAAATGCAACGTCCTACAACGTTGGGGTACAATGTCAATCTGACGTCATGTTAATGTCCTGTACTTGATCAGAAGTTGCCTTCAATCAATCAATCAATCAATCAATCAACCAATCAATCAGTCCGTCCGTCCGTCTGTCTGTGTGATTAGTATGTCTGTCAGTTCATTTGTCAATCTAACCATATATAAATCTATGATGAAAAATATAACTAGTAAAATAAATATAGATTGCTCATTTTAAGTAATGTATTCTGACTACTTTTAGATTACTTCTGACCCAACTCAAAAACAACCTTCAATCTCAGAGGGACATCAAGTCAATATTTGTCAAATATTATTTAAAGGTTACCATCATTTGGATGCTACATTATTGACAAAAACATAAATAAAATTGATGTGTTTCATAATTTCAGAATCAAATATTTAACAACCTCATAGTACATGTTGTTATGTAGTAAATAAATATTATAATATTATAATATTATTAAAAAAATATAATAAGTACCCAATTTGAATACGAGCATTTAAAAAAAATCTAATCTATCTTTGATTGGTACATTGTTATATAAAAAGTGTAATCCATCTGTCCAGAGAGAATTTTTAGCACCAGTGGAAAAAGATTTTACAAAAATATGTGTAAAGTAGGGCTGTGCAATATATTGTTCCAGCATCGATATCGCAATGTGTGAGTCTGCAACAGTCACATCGCAGAGATCTGCAATGTAGTTGAGATTATAGTTGATAGAGTATTAATTTCAGATTTTAACATCTGAAACATCATTAAAAAAGTAAAGGTTTATTATTTGCAAGTATTTTTACCTGACTGTAATCATTTGAAGAAAATGTAAGCAATTTTGGGCACAATAAGTTAAACATTTGTAGCTTAAAGATTAGTAGCACATTATGTTATTATAAACTCAATTAAAACAATACAGTGCTATTCATTCATTCATTTATTCATTTTCTTTTCAGCTTAGTCCCTTTATTAATCAGGGGTCGCCACAGTGGAATGAACCACCAACTTATCCAGCATATGTTTTACCAAGCTGATGGCCTTCCAGCTGCAACCCAACACTGGGTTTACACACATACACATTCAATTCATCAAGACAGCATGTGTTTGGACTGTGGGGGAAACCAGAGCACCCAGAGGAAACCCATGAAAACACAGGGAGAACATGCAAACTCCACACAGAAATGTCAACTGACCCAGCCGAGGCTCAAACCCAGTGACCTTCTTGCTGTGAGGCGATTGTGCTACCCACTGCGCCCCTGTAACGCCCAATACAGTGTTATTATTTTTATTATTGTACAATGATTATTTAATTTCTGCTTCTAAATACTGTTTGGCTCCCGAAAATCATAAATCATTGTTCATTTGTATCTTTTATCTGTTTGTAACTTATCTTGTCATTTTTATTTATATTTAATGAGGATATGCTCCCCTACAGAATCATCCCAAGCAATCTACAATTATAGATTCTTTACAAGCTATTAAAGTCCTCTGCAATAATTGCATTTATATCGCAAGATATATCGCAGTGAATAAAAAAATTGCAATGTCTTTTTTTCCAGTATCATGCAGCCCTAGCATAAAGGTACAAAAGCTGTCACTTGGAGTGGTACCCTTTAAAAGGCACACCTATTAGTACAAAAAGGATTCATAATGATGCCTTAAAAGAACATATTAGTACCCAAAGGGTCCATATTGTACATTCAAGGAACATACAATAAAGGGCCCAAAGAACATATTATTAGCTAAAAGGTCTATACAGGATTAGTACCTTTTAAAAGGGTACCACCACAGTGACAGCTTTGTACCTTTATTTCTGAAAGTGTAATGTACAGCACAATTATATTTTATAGATAGATTGATACTT